GCACTGTAGTTATTGATATATTTTTTTCCTCTCTTTTCCTCAAGCGAGATGTTTATTTCCATAATTTGAATACATAATTACTCAATGATTGAATGAGAAAAAACATTGGCTAAAATTTAAAGTATATTCAACAATTCTTCCAGCTTAGTATTATTTTCTTTGCTAAACATTCATATTTTAAAAACAATCTTAGCAATGACTTTAATTTAAAAAACAAAGCATGCAGGTAAATAACAGAATCATTGACAATCATTTTACCGTAACATTTATAAATTGCATATTGCGCATAATTAAAAATAATATTCAGGAGAGTATATTTCCTGTTTCCAATGTCCTTGCCTACAACTAATATCTTTTGGTTTATTTGTATAGTTCTACTTGGAATAGGTGAAATATTGAATTACAATATTATTTTCCAAAACATAATCACATCCCTGCATTAGAACAAAAAGTGAAACGGTATATATTTCACAATAAAGATACATAACAAATGGGAATGATAATGTATTTCATAAAAACAGAAGTTTGTTCATTTAAAAATTCTAAATTTGACCTTTGGCTCTTTGAAAAAGTTATTTCAAGTGCCAAGTAGGCTCTAAAAATCCCAATGACTGTCTCAACCATTCAATAAAGATGATTTTGTACACAACAACAAAGGGCCTTCTATGAAAGACCTTCCCTTCAAAGAAACAAGGACAGAGTCCTGTTTACCAGAAATCAAGTACCCATTAAAGGATTTACATGGGTTTCATCAAATAATTTCAGGAATTGAATAAAAGACCAAAGGTCCTGCCATTTAGAAGTATTGAATGTGTATGACGTTTTGTCTCAAGGAGATTCCACTAACAGTAATGTTCCATCAAATACTTCTAAGAAATTAATGTCAGATCGAATGACGAGGCCGACATGTAAACAAAAAGGCATACAAAGGGATTATTCAAAACAAAAGGTACCTGAGATCATTTTTGAGGGCTATGAGTATGAATGAATGCTCTTGCATTTTATACTCTTGATGCAAGAACCATGAAAATGTTCTTTATACAAAAATGACATAAATCATTAAAGCAAACTAAGAGGAATACTGAATGCAGACAGAAATTCTCAGTGAAAGATTTTTTCTTTTTTCTCTCAGAACAAAGGCAAAGGAACAGCAAAGATGTTCAAGTACAGTACATACCATGTATTGCAGCACTTGACACTCACTGGCACCAGGGACACTTGGACCGCTGGGTGCCAACAATCCAAGTTTGGACTGCCATAAAAGCCATAAAAGCCCTACAAAGTACAATTCGGATCCCTACTCCTATGACAGGATTTTTCACTTCTTCATTTATACGTTTCATTTTCAGTTTGGAGGCATGCATAATCATATTGTTTGAATAGAACTACCATTGGAAGACTGTTATAAACTACAGCTGGACTCATATATATATATACTGTTGTACTTGTGGTATGAGTCATTAATGCACTTTGATCTGATATATGATCCCATAAAGTGCTCAATTATGGGACACTATTAAATAATCAACCAGGGCCCCGTCATGTAAAGAGTTCTGATTGATCCGAATCAATCGCAAGTCCTGTAATCAATCGCAAGTTTGCAGTCTCTTTTCTTTTGTACATAGTTGTGATTAATAACAACTGTTTTTAAGACGGGCCCCGGGAGATAGAAAACCATGAGCTTCAATTTCCATTTGATTTTCTCTCATAAAAGAGGGTGTGGATAGGAAATATAAGAATAGATTTCCCTACTACACTTTACAAAAGCCTTACAAAATAAACTTAGTAATTTTGTTGTAATCCTCTTCATTTTATATCAATTGATTTCAAGTTTTCCTAGTATGTAATGACTACATTTCTACATATCGTCGGCCTTATGCCAAAAGGGCCTTAACTGCTTTTGGCCATTCCGAGATAATCGCGTTTAAAGGTTTTGGCCTCTCTAATAATCAAAAGTTTGTGGTCGTTTTTTTGCTTTTGAAGCCAATTTCGATAAATGTGTTAAGTTATTAAGTTTTACATGAAATGTGTTAAATTTGTTATAAAATATTCAGAATTGTACATGCTATGTGCAAAAAACATGTTAGGGCCTTTTTGGCATAAGGCTTGAATGTAGCGTATGTTAGCGTATGTTATGCCAGAAGGGCCGTAACCTACTCGGCATTATGCCAAAAGGGGCGTAACCTACGCAGCGTTATGCCAAAAGTGCCTTAACCTGCCGTTATCGTACGCGTAACTATGCGCGTAACTATGCGCGCGTACGCGCGCATAGTTAGCGCCCTTTTGGCATAAGGAAATTTTCTTGTTTCGCAACACCTTTGGTTTGCCAGAAAGGCCCTCCTAACACAAATGGATCATCCGTGTAGGTTAAGGCCCTTTTGGCGTAAGGAAAAAGATGAGATACGCGTTAAGGCCCTTTTGAAATTCATAATTATCTTCATAAATAAATCGAATTTCAACAAGTGAAGCACATCATTTTAAAGAGAATGATGAAATCTACAAGGTGATATTAATAAGTCAATAACCCCCAAAATCGGGTTAAGGCCCTTTTGGCATAAGGCCGACGATATACATGTACATGTACACGAGGATGTCTAGGGTCCCCAATGATAATCTATCATGAATTAGGGGTAAAAAAAAAATCAAACTTAAGAATGACTGTTAAGCATCATTTACATGTAGATATGACGCAGCAAAACCATGACTTTTTAAACTTTATGATGGTATAAAGGGCAATGTGCTTCACATTACTGTATCCTGTATTAAACACAAAGCTCATTGAATAATGAACATGCCCATGACCTTTGCACAACAAAAGGTGTTTATTTTTTTCCTTTCTTCTTTTTGGCGCAGCACGTTTAACATGGCATATCTGAAACAAGCCTTTATGAGTTTTCTTCTTGGCCCTTAAAGCAGGGTACACTATTGTTTGTTTTTTTAGTTTTGATGCCTTTAAGTTATATATTGCATTGTTATTTGGAGAGTTTTCAATTATATTATAGAGATAAAAAGTACAATTTTACCATATCCTACAAACAGTACAGTACTAAATCAAGTTTTTAGGCTTATTTTCCTGTACAGGTTCATGTACATGGATAAGCATTGGTTTTATCTTCAGTAACATATGGTAGACGTAATTTCCTTTTTCTCAGTACATCCTTTGAGAAAAAAAAACCAAGCGGACCTTACAACGAGGCTAGACTGGATGTTTATTCATGTGCATTATGCCCTTGGAGCAGGATTCAGGGACATTTTTCATAATACAGTCAAGTGTATTGCCTGGAGGGTATTTAAGGAGACAGAAAAACACTTTAATAAATGTTGTTGTATTTTATAGAGGGATGAGTAATGTGCAAAGGAATTTTACCTAATTAAATCTATTGCAATGGTCACATTTTGTTTCATAAATGGTGAAATAAAAGGTTATAAGCATCAAGTCGCTTTTCCTCTTTTGGTTTTGTGCAGGATGGAGCATTCAAACTGAAAGCAGTCTAGCATCAGTCTGGCCTCGGTCTGGCCTCAGCCCGCATCTGATGCCAGACTTAGTAACCTTAGTAACATAATCCTTTATAGTAACCTTAGTATCCTAATCCTTAGTAATCCTTAGTAACCTAATGTGCTGGTCAAATTTTGTTTCATAAATGATAAAATGAAAGGTTATAAGCTTCAAATTGCTTTTCCTCATTTGGTCTTGTTTACATCCTGTCATAGGATCAAATCATCTTCATATGTCATCTGGTTTATAGAGCCAGAAAGGGCATTAACTCTGTGTAAAAGACTCTGTGTAAAAGAGACTCTGTAACTCTGTGTAAAAGATTCTCTACGACACTATCACAAACCATAGGGTAATGTTGGTAGTATACATGCATTTTGTATTTTTACTATGATCACATTAGAGATTTAAATATACCGGTATGTACAGTATTTTGCTCATAGCAACTACCTTTAATATACAGCTCTTTTTTTTTAAACTTTTAAAACTTTTTCCCCCTTCTTTGAAACTAAGTGACATCATCCACAAGAAAATGTACGCATGGCATCTTGTTAACCCTCTGCCTACTCGAACTGAGTGATCCCTGTGTTATGTCTATAGGGATTAGAGAGACCAGTAGTTAGCGGGTTAATTGCAAACCTTATAAAGGTGGATGAGGAGAGGAAATCTAGAATATTGGAGGAATATCAGGGGCTTCCCCCTCCGGCTTTTAACTCTGAATCTCACACACCATATTCCACATTGCCTGAAATGGTTTCATATGCATTCCAAGAACTGCTAATACTGGATTTGCATTTCCTACAAACTAACATGATCGTAGGTCACCCTATGACATTTCCTCCATTGCTCTACTGTATGTAGGCCTGCATGTATTTGACTTAAAAGGCAAGTTGCCCGACATATTCAAGCCATCAGCCCTAAAAAGATTAAAAGGCAGGGGGAAGGAGCCAGACAATCATGAGGATAAAATTGTTTAAACTATCACTTTATCAGCATGGCGAGATTTGGGACTAAATATACACACAACCTGTAAGACATTTGAGGAAATGACTTACAGTTAAGTACAGTGACCTAGAATGATGCCCGTCCTAAGGACTTGGTATCCAGAATTATAGCTGTTATTCATGATGTAAGATAGAGTGTAGGGTACACAAAAGTAAAAACATCCTGCCACTTTCTGTTGCACTATTGACCTTGTTCTTTAACAAGATTTTGTTCCCATTTCTGGGAAGAAATTACCTTTTTTTTTCAAGAAAAAAAAGAAAGAGGACATGATACCGGTACTTAGTTACTATTGACCGCGACCCATACGTTGATGCCCTTCCGAAGGACTTTGTACCCAGAATTATAGCCGTTATTCATGATGTAGGATAGAATGAAGTAAAAACATCTTGCCACTTTCTGTAACACTATTGCCCTTCGTTCTTCGACAAGATTTTTTTCCCATTTGGAGGGAGAAATGTCATTTTTGTATTCAAGAAAAAAAGAAAGAGAAAAAGATACTTACTATTGACCGCGACCCATTCATTGATGTCCTCTCCATCCGGTAAACTGACGGCCTGCCGTAAGTTACCACTGCCAAGCGTCGCCTCGGCATGTTTCATCAGCTCATACTGGTGGAAACCCTCTGGAATGTTCTTCTTGGGGCGGAACGTCTTGGCGCCCCTTGAGCTACTGCAGATTTCAAGAAAAGAAAAAAGAAAGTTGAAATGTTAGTCGTGGATACAAGGATGAATATGCTCTAGGATTTCATGAATAGAATTGTTTTGAAGCCCAACTGCACTAGTTATAGCTACTTGAGCCCTCTATATAGCAAACAATGCCTAAGCAGTACCAATTGGTCCCCCATGATCCCCTTTTTATTATGTTAATTGAGAGCTGATTTGATGTGATAACAGTGACCATGCAGGGAGGTCTAATCTCTCCTGGCCAAACTAGTGCAGATACGCTTTTAACAATTAATAATACCACTTAAGCAAAGCCTACAGCCAACATTTACATTGCAACTGTAAAAGACAGTGGGAAGTTATTCATTGTTACTGTCTTCACTCTTCAGGTGGTAGGGCACAATTTGAATGTTGTTTACCATGCTTCCATAAACTACAATGACTACAAAACCTGGGTGAAGAGAGGTAATTTAAATCGAAGTGCAAGCTACATGTGAACATGTTTGATAACATTAACATCTGAAACTGAATTTAGTTGGAGCATTAACTAAATATATACTTATTTCAGCATGCGATAATGATGAGAATACTGTCCCCATTATTTGCCAATGTTGTCTTCTGGTTGCCCTCAAATTCACAACTTCTTTTAGTGGTCCTCGTAAAGTGCTACATGTAATATTGCGTTAAACTAGGGTGGAGCCCCCACTGATACAGAAACAAGCCAATTAAAACAGAAAATAGAATTACACAAAAGAAAATCATCATAGATTATTCCCGAGCACACTCTAAGGGTTTCCCTCGTTAAAATCAGGACCAGATGAAATAGAGAGCGCAAATTGGTTTTGATTATGGGCAGAGTTTGCAGAGTTTTCTTGAGGGATAGCATTAATGCACAGCATGGTATTGAGAGAGAGAAAGCACTTGCTAATTGCAACAGGCTGTGAACACAGTACTGCATAACACTACAGCTAGAAGACCCTCTCTACCTAACAAGTCGCCGCCAACATGAAAGAATGAACTTAATGTAACCTCGTTCTTACTTCGTGTCACCTCACACACTTCAGCTCTTTTGTATTTTTCTTTGTCACCTTTATACACTTGATTGCTTGTTTGGAAATTAAATTTGGGTTTTTGTACCATTCCCCCTTTTTGAAGAAAAAAAATTGTGATTGTCTATATCAATCCTTTTATTGTAATTTAACCTCATAACCCTGTTCTTGCTCAGTGTCACCTCACACACTTCATGGTTTTTTTTTTGTCACTATACACTTGATTGGTTAGTTTAGAAAGTAAAGTTTGGCTGTTCTACTCCCCCTTTTCGAAAACAAAACAAAAACATTTTCTCCCTATCTGTCACTGTTTTAAGTGGTTACGTCACCACAGCAAGCAAGCCTCTTGGTTTATTCTTGTTACCCTTTTCCCCTCTTTTCGAATCAAATGTACATCTAATGTAAATGAAGGCCCTAGCCAACATGTATTAACATTAATCCTCTCAACTTTACCCTTGCCGAAAGCTCGAAACATAGTTCTTCTCTTACAAATTCTCATGACTCATAGCCTTGTAAGTTGTGAGAGCATTGAACTGATAAACCATGGAGCTGATAATAATAGCTACTATTATGAACTCCATGGTCTAAATCCTCGCATGAATTCATTTAGCTTTGGAGGGCATTTCTGTCTAGTTTTTCCTCAGCAAAATTAAAGGACAATCAACCCTTTGTAGAAAACAGAATCACAAAAGTTTGAAATATATCAGACCAATAAGAAAGTTATAAATGTTTGAAACATGACATCATTACAGCTATAGAAATCTCAAATTGTTATCGATACAGCTAAGGAAATCTCAAATTGGCAATTTGGACAGCGGATTGGGAGGTGAGGTAGTGATGGATAACTCTCAAGTTTGTTGTGTACATAAATATCACTAATTTCTGTTTTTCTCTCAAGAGCCTTCACCCTTCACCCAATCATTTGGTTTGGAGTTGGTTTGGCTGTATGACGGAATACTGATAAACAAAGTGAGCGGAAATCAGAAGAATGGCATTGGCGGTTCAGAAAAGTACAATTTTTCAAAATCCATAAATTACATGCGATACAGCTGTGTATCCCTCTATTAACTGGCCCATTTATTGCTGTCTGCATGAATGAAGACCCTTCTTTGTACTCCTAACTAGATGTCAAAGAACTGTCTTTGTATTCATGTCTCCAGTGATATACAAATACATGTCCTGAATAACCTGTCTCAGTTGCTTCCGTCAACAGAATCTTTGACCTCCCTTAACCTCAATGACAAGTCATCTTGTCACAACATATAGGGGAACACTGAAAGATGCTTTGGATCTGACATCCAAAATGTAAAGAAACAGATGAAAATGTGTGTGTGGTATATATGGGGGTCCATCCAGAAAGTTGAAGCACTTTTTGTGACATACCAGAAGTGAGAAACTATGTCTCCTATCAACTGTAACAATGTTTGCTCAAATTGAGTTTTGCATAAAAAGCATAGCTAACTGTCTTCCGAAGTACTCAAGCTTCATGGTTAATCAATATTATGGACCCAAAGTTTATGTTATGTTATATGAATACGGCATCCATTTAAGGCTGGTAAAAAGAAAATGCATGTTGAGCAAAGATTTTGAAGAAAGGCAAGTGAAACAGGAAAGATTCTGGCAGGACACTACTATTTACTCATTGCATAAAAATCTTCAACAGATAATTTCATCTTTCATGTATAGTAGAAGTATACCTACGTTACACCGTCATATTTTTTGCCCCAACTTTATGGAATGACCCATATAGAGACTAAAACCTTGGAAGAATATTGTAAACTACCACAGTTAACCTTACACATTAACATTATTTCTCTATACTATGCTATTCAGGTTTTAGACTATCATGAACAGGATGTTGATTCACCCAGTTTCTCGATTTCCCAAGACCAACGAAATGGTAGCCTCCTGCTTCTCATATGTCCGAACATTGTAGCCCTAAGAGCATATTACCCACAGTCTCCCTACCCCGCAACACGCTTCTTCCCTTCCAAATTGTGGTATTAGATGCTACCCTTCAGGCGTTTCAGATAATTTCCCTGACATTTGAACTTGAAACAAAAATAATCTATTGCGCTGCACACCGCTTGCTTCCTGTCTTTTCTCTCTGCTTTGTTTCCAGGACTGTAGGTGTTCTAGATCATGTTGTTACAACATGCACCACATGATCACTGCTGTCTTAAAGGCATCATTTTTAAATGTCAAATCAGAAATGCAAGGCCCTGTGTTATCAGTGTCTGTGATATGGTGTAATATTGAAGCCCTACAAAAATGATCATGGAGTGCCTTAAAAAGTAAAAATCTTTGAGTGACCGGTTTTACCATACTCATTTTCCCCCATAGACTGTAGTGTTAAAAAACTGTAAGAAATCAAATTTTGAAATTTCAATTTCCAATCATAAATATCTTGATAATCAGACAGGCGATCGGCTTGTAAAAGTCATGGGGTTCCTGACTGACCTAAAGGTTTATAATTATCATTGCAGCAAGAGCTAATTCCAGGATTTTGTTTCAGAATCTCAGACAAAGATACCAAATCCCTTTATAAAAGATAATGTAAAGAGCTGGTCATGCGATTACATTGTGAAAGGGAGTGTCCGGTATCAGTTGGGAAAGTCCGATTACACAGGAGATGTATATAAAACTGATGTAAAGTTGTAAACTCTGAGGTTTTGGAATCACGATCAAAATGGAAAGAAACTGAAAGTTGACTAATTTTGCAAAAAACAACATGCACTGCAAAGAAAAATTGGTATATGGGACTACACAAGTGGCATGATGAAAGTTTAGTCCAAACTTTCACCCATTTCTATTTTCTTTCAGTTTCTTTTCTTTCAGTTTCTTCTATTTTATTGAAGGGAGATTTCTGCTACGAATTCTTCCAAACTGAAAGATGAATGAGAATTAAATTCACAAATTATTTTCATCTTCACCAAAACCCAATCTTCTCTTTAATAAAAGAGAAAAGGAAGATGAGTTTCATATTTTCGACTTCCTATTATGCAGGTACTTGTTCTAGTTCTATTTTAATACAAATATATTACGGAAATGATCTCATTTTTTTTGTATACTTTCATTTCTTTCCAAGTACTCTAGCATAAAAGTTAAGTACCTTCTTCTTCTTCCTACTGTGTTAATTTCCTCCTCTGATTATTCCAAAGATCAGTGGTAAAAAAAATAATACCATGAAAAGCTAAAGTCTTGCATGAGTTGTGTAGTCACACTTACATGTACATCAAGTTGCTTTAATTATATCTTATATGAACTCAGGATATGATCTAAATTCGTTTCATTTTGTCATACTTTCTATTCCCAATTTACAGAATAACACTTGGAGACATCACAGAATGACATGCAAAACTGAAAGGATAAATTTCTACATTCAGTCTCATCCTTTACTTCAATTATGCTGTAATTACATTGTTGAAACTTCATTAACTTCATTAACTTCATGTTTGGATCTCATATGATGACATTGGATACTACATGGAGTTTCTACTTCTACACACAGTGATGGATGATTAATTCTCTCCATTCCCCCTCTATTCCAATGTCATCTAAACAATGTTTGAACAAAATACACAACCAGAATAAAAAAAATTGAAGACATTTAGCCATATCGTCGCTGTTTTCACGAAGTGACGGTAGGGAAAAAAAATTGCATTCACTTTGCGTTACGATTTTCCTCACTACCGTCACTTCGTGAAAACAAGGACGATATGTTGAACTTTCAAAGACATCTATCCAATATGTTTATCCTCTGTTGAGAGCTAAAAGGACATTGATCCCCATGTATAACGATATAACTTTACACCCTTCTGGCTCTCAACTCTAGATATATTAAAAAAAATATGTGGTCATTATCCTCATTTGCTTTCAACTCTGTCATCATCGAAACCCGCTATTAAGTATTAATTAAAACCAAACTTGAGAAGTATCATTAATATGAAAACAATCA